AATAGGTCAGAAACCCATTTCCTATTTGCAACGTCAAATGGGAAAACAAACTAACGGTATGTACCGTGATTTGAACTGTTGTGTTACTGTAAATAAACCATTGTAAAAATTTCAAATTTCAGTCTTTTATTTTTTCTGAAATGCTGGGGTATCCGGCGAATGATGTGGGCCTATAATTTGCCTGGCGGGCCTTTTAAAATCCCTTACCTACAGGCCAGGCGGGCCTGTAAGTTTTCAAACCAATTTCTACCCCTGCAACATCTCCTGTTCCCCGCAGTGCTACTACATCGGAGGCCTGAAGGAGTCGGCGACGAGTCGACTGGGAGACATCAGCAAGCCCGTCTCCTACCACCTTCCGCCGGAGAAGATCTGCGAGAAACTGTCGAAGCAGGATGGCCAGATATGCGACCTCGTCTACGGTGAGTGGCGCCCTCTAGGGAGGCGGCGTGTCGTGTCGTTGTTGTTTTCGTTGGGTTGTCATGCGATAATGCTTTCCGTGACGGATGCTAAAGTGATTTGGTCGTTCCGGAGGTCATTGTCTGTGAGTTACTGTCCGCTTGACCTAGGGACTGCGTCTGTTTTGCTGCCGCTTCCCTCATTTTGCTGCTATCTCTCTAAATTTACTGCGGTCTCCCTCATTTTGCTGTGGTCTCGCTCATTTTGCTGCTATCTCTCTAAATTTACTGCGGAATTATGAAATTCCAGTCGATTCCCATCACTAATATATATATATATATATATATATACATACATACATACATATACTACAGCCTTAATTGGGGCCAAACCATTCTTGATCTCACACTTCTGTTGTATACGAGTCGATATATACCACTTGTATACTTGAGTCCACATCACTGACGACTTGTATTTCATGTTCCCTTGCAGTCTGTGAAACGTTTATTCGTAAATTTGTCGCTGGACTAACGGAGGACGACAGGAGCACTGTGCCCAAGATCGAGAAGGCGTTGAGACACACGTGTGAAAACTCGGGCGGAAAAGACCACAGATTTGTAAGTCGCTAGATAAAATTAATCCTCGCCACTAATCGATGCGCCACAGTGACATAGGCACTGGAAGGGATTTAACTTAACTAACTAACCGATGTCAGCATTCTACCGAAACCCGTTAGGAATACAACATGAAAAATTTCCCCCACGAGCAAATCGTTAACACCTCAAATTTAACTCCGCAATTCGTACGTCAGCGGAATAGAGCCGAAAATTATTTATACCCCGGGTCATTACCCATGGCCGAATTTAAGCATGAGCTAAGCAAGATACAGCTTAGGGCCGCACAGACTGAAGGGGCCTCTCAAAATCCTATTTGTTTTATTTGTTACAGTTTTATTAAAATTGGTTTAACCTGAATAACCTAATTTCTTCATTAACAATTGCCAGAGAGGACCTCTAAGGGCGCGCGTAGCTTAGGGCCTCATCGTGTCTAAGGCCCGTCCTGGGCGTACATCGACCACCTGGCACTTAATTATAACTAATTAATTCACTAGTTAACGTAATTTCTTCGTTATCGATTTGCCACGTGGGTGCCTCTACAGCTTCCCGTAGCTTCTAGGGCCTCACAGTGTCTAAATCCGGCCGTCGTCACCCCCCGGCCTGACATTTGTAATACAGGTACAACACCGATTTTCCGGACACTGATGGTCCGGAACCTCTTTTAATCTGGATAAAATTCATTTGAAATTTCTGCGCCCCCATATTAGTTGACCGTGTAACCGCATCGCCAAGTAGCCGCGTCGCCACGTAGCCGTTTAGCCAGTATTATGTTACCTCTTTTGGTCCGGAAAAACGGATAATCCGGAAAGGCCTTGGAACCAAGGGTTCCGGAAAATCGGTGTTGTACCTTTACTAGCAATCCCTGCGGGCCCGTAGAAAATCCACCCCCAGCATGCGAAACCATCCCTGGAACGCCAGCGAGGATGAAAAGTTACCACAGTATTGCTCACTAGTAGTCACTGAATATATGTTCTGAACTAATCACGGTACATACCGTTAGTTTGTTTTCCCATTTGAAGTTGCAAATAGGAAATGGGTTTCTGACATATTTCCTATTTTTAA